ATGTGAAGATTGAACTCAATCAGACATATAGTTTTGTTACAGTTATTCAGAGTTGCAGATTACATGTGTGTCGGCCTGTGTGCATTGAGCACCACTGTGGAAAAAGTAAACATTTTTGGCTGACCTGTCTCATAACAATGGCTGCTATGCTAGAATTGTATGCTTGGAAGCTTTTCATCGTGAAGGTGGCATATTAAGTAAACGGTTTGCGGTAGCACATACCTAAGTGTGGTTCAGAAAAGAACCGGCGAATGGTAATGTCAATTTTCACAAAGTTGGCATCAAATTGACCGTGAAGAGTTACACTTAAACTCCTAAAGTCTTAGCTCCAGAAAAAAACACAGTGTGGCGATATTGGATATGCCACTCCGTTTCTCCAACCGCCAGCTCTTTTAGGTTAATACCCACAGTCACAGACGATGCCATGACTGATTGACCCTTGGATACAGTGCTGTGCGGGAAGCACGGCCTCGTTGTGTCACGAAGATGAGCCTGAACCAGCGATTAAGGGGTTTCTACTTAAGACTGGTATATGCAGGGTTTTTTATACGTAACACGTGTGGAGGAAATGAATCTTTGAGAATTAGCGGTGTGCGTTGAGCGGATAACGGTGGCATCTTAGCAGATCTGAGGTGGTTTGGAGTCTCTTTCTCATCTTCCAAAATCACTAATTGGCTGTTCCTTCAGACAGATTTTTGTTTTGCTTTAGATGCCATCATGCACCAGTATCCTGAATTCTCTCTCTATGTCTGGCAACAGAGAGAAGGTGTTTGAATGCCTGGGGCCTGTGGGCTTCATGCTCAAATGTATACCCTCACGAATGATGAACTGAAAGGCCAGATTTAGATTCTGTGTTTTGGATGATTTTCTTTGAAATCACTCACACACACTTTGAACTTTATGTGGACAAGGCTGGTATTCTTTGATATTCTCTGTGTGGACAGTGAAAAAAAATATTTCTAGGTCACAAAGATGTGTTGACTTGTTGAGGACCTCACAGTGTTTCCCCTTCCCCAGAAAAAGTTTCAGAGGCATTTTAAGGTTAGCAAACTGAAGAGGAATTGTCAAGGAAATCAAAAAAACTCATCTTTAACATCTTCACAGTGGGAGAAAATTAGTCTTGTTTTCCCAAGGGTTTTTTCTTATTGTCCACACTAGCTTGGCATGTAACACCAGTATGGGTTTGTGGACAGGTGTGCACGTGCTGGTGTCTGCTTTAAGGGACATCATTCCAGGACAAAGTGTCCCCTCCTTTGTTCATATGCACAAAGCCCATTTCGAAAGAGCTCTCTTCTTAGGACTTAAGACAACTAACCAACTTCATCAGCAGCTAAATTCATAAACTTGTTAATATTAGCTCTGGAAAATTATGGTTGCAAATTGAGCACTTCTGCCTGCTTCACTCGGATTTTTTATCTTTCAACAAGTCACTTTGATAGGAAATTCTTCCTGCTCATAGCATCTTAATGCAATTTTGCTTTGACATCCCAAGGCTAAAAATTTGATGAACCCTTCACAAGAAGGTCACAGCACACTTGTTATATCTTTTTAATCTGGGCTCTGAGTCCTAGGCCTCCAGCATTGCCGAGTAGTGACGAAGACACAGGATTAACTTACAGGATTATGTCTGGTCTTTAGGGTGGTGTGGGCTTCTGTTGGCTTAGTATTCCGGTTAATGCATCTCCGAGGCTAACACACGTCCAATGTGATCAATTGGTGTTCAGCAACTTCAGTTAACTGATAGGTGTGAACTTCCACAACATTATCTCTTTTACAGGGGCATTTGTATTAGGCCAGAATTAGCAATTTGATCATGGGATTTGGAGAAGGACCCTTATTTTTTCCTGAGGTTTAATTCTTCATAAGCCTTAAAACTATGTGGCTCCCCTTCCTAAACCTTGGCTGAAATACAGGTCAGAGTCCTCTGTTACTGAGCTTTGAACACGGAGCTCTGGATTCTTATAAATCTTTTTATTCATTATGAACTAACAAGCTAGAGCAGGTGTCCTTCAATCTCTATAAATGGAAAGTTACTCATCAGAAAAAATTTCTTGAAGTTTTGAGTCAGGTTTGAGCATAAACTTAAGATTGACCCCTCAAACACCCTACTTTTGTAGTTCAACCATTTTTAAATGCCATGTTGTTACTTGCTTCATGGAAGTATTTTCGCAACAGTTCCCACTGTTCTTAAGTTTGAGAAAAGTTATAGATAACCAGTGATACAACCATACACCATGGCCCAGTTCTAAATGGTCAATTGACTTGGCAACATCTGAACAACCATCATTTAAATGACATTGATCAAACTGTAGTTAACTTTAAATGTTGCTTAAGCTTGTCTTCGGTATAAAAGTTTAAGTAGCCATGAGAATTCAACTTCGTCATTGGTCCATATCACCCTTCCGGGAATATTTTTGTCCCACACAAAATGCTTCCTTGCGGGGGGGGGACATAGGGCCAATGCACTGCAAGGGCAGATAATCAAACAAAATAAAGAAACTGGACTGATGAAAGCATTCCAAGCTTAACTTGTGACAATTGAAGATATCCTGGTCGGTGTAAGCAGGCAGCCCTGAGAATGGGGGGGGGCAAAACTGATATGTGTTGGCAATTACTTTCCACTGTGGTTTGTCCTTGGGGAGACACTGCTAAGATTCTCTCATTCACTCGTGGTAAAAGGCGGAGTGTAAATCGATGAAGTAATTCTGCGAAGGGGAAGTTGTTGATCATGTGGCTTGTTTCCCTTTTTTTTCATGTTCTTGTTTATTTGATTGCACTTTTCAACTCGGGTTGTATGTTTTGTGTACACTGACTGGTGCCTCTCACAGTTGCCAGAAGCATCTTGAGTCACAGAATTTCGTCACAGGGGGAAGTAATATTCTCTGCTGTCAATTGGTTTCTTTGTCATTTTGTTCATATGGTACCATCAGCGAAAGATAAAGTGCCATCAGTCAAGGGACAAATGATACATGGATCTGTGCCTTAGAATAATATCTGACGAGCTGACAGAAACTGTTTGAAGTCTGAATGACGAGATACTAGGGATGTAATGATACACCAAGATACGTGGTTGCCATGATACAACCATAGTGTATCATATATCAACAAAGTACAACAAAAGGCTGCAAACTGTTGAACTGCTGGTTAAAGTGATATACAAATTGGAAAGGTCAATAGGGCCTGACATTTTGATCTCAGAAGAATCTTTCACCAAGGCCTTTGAGAAAGATTAATCTGGGATCAAAACAGTATCATGATATTTAGCTAACTGTACACGTTTTGCAGCATTAGAAATTGGATTAAAATTGAAAGAAGCACGGCACATTAAGAGCTTTAATTAATACAACATGTCCATGCATTTTGACAAACTAATTTCCATAATTTTAAAATTTTGCAATATAAACTACAGGTACACTGTATGCTGTTCTTACAAAGTGGTATTGCAGGTCAATACAGTGTTTTTTTTGCATTATTTGGTAAATACTACAAAATCTTTCAGATTAACTTCCATTTCTTTCATACCTGCCCAAGAAAAAAGTGACTGGGATCCCGGTGGGAATCCCACCGGGATGTTTGATGGGATCCCACTGGGAATTTTCGTCAGGTTATAGGGATCCCATTGGGAATCCCACTAGATGCGGGATGGGATTCCACTGGCATGCGGGATGGGATCCCACCGTGATGTGGAATGGGATTCCACCAGGATCCCACTTGAATCTCAGGGTGGGATCCCATCCCATTTGCAGTAGGATCCAGCTTGGACTTGGAAGATCCCAGTGGGATCTGAATCCCAGTGCAATCCCACCTAGATCCCACTGGGATCCCTGTGGGATTCCACCGGTAAATTTTGTTGGGATTTGCATGGGATAGCCAGTATCCTGGTGGGATTTCAGACACATCCCACTGATATATCCCAGTTTGATGCAACTGACATCCCATTGCGATCCCAGTTTGACATGGGATGTCATTTTTTCCCACTCAATCAGTTATGCTGCTCAGGTTCAGGCTTATGAAGTGATAACATCTACTTGAATGTCAGTAGGGAAAAAAAATTCAAACATAATTTTGCCCGATATGGTCCCAATATATACTTCTTTCTGCTCTGCTTTCGTCACTTGGAAATTGAGGAAGGATGTGTGAATGATTCAATTTGGCAGTCAGCAATTATGCCGCAGTAAATATTTGGGTCTCATAGGACTACTGTTGGTGTGCCTGCTGGTGTGTCTGTAGATATTCTAGGATGTGGGGAATGTCACTCCATCCCATCAGGGAGAATTTCAGAACCAACACTTGGGGGTCCGACCCATGTTTTGCTTAAGACGTCATTGGGTCATTGACCATAATCCTGTCATTAAACTGGAGCGATTTGGCTCGTGTGGAAGACAGTACCTGAACCCAGCTTTCTTTTGCAAGTGTGATTGCGAATACATTCAGTATCCTGAACCAGTCTTAAGACCAGCCAAGCACATATTTATTCCCATTAATTAATACTTTTTGGTCAGAGTGTCAAAAGATTTCCAACAATTTTGCTCTAGAAATTTACTTTCTTTTTCCCAAACACCCCTGTCCATTTTAAAGTGTATTCCTCGTGCAAGTTGTCCGAAAGAGACTCCTTATGCATGGCGAGCCACATTCACAGAGACTCTTGACCAATCAGAATCAATTAAACTGTCTCGCATCCAGATGCCAGCATGTGATTTATGCATTGGGCATTATCACTTCTCAGCAGGCATTATCAAACGTACGTTTATACACGGTCTAGTTGCATGTTATTGAATAGGGAGACTGTCTAAGGTATTTATGAATACTGCTTGAACTGAAGGACAGTTTAAGTGGACCAGTTGCACTGAGTGTTCTTATAAATCTTAACTCCAGTGCCACACATAGAATGACCAGTTGTCCATTCCCTCATTCAAAAGCTCTTGGCTTTGAGAAATATTTTCCAAACTTGATTGGCATGCCTTAGTCACATTTTTCTATCCCCTGTTTCCTTTATGCAGGCTTGGAAATTGCTACTGTATACTACGTGCAGTTGGTGGCATACAACTTTGTCGACGGCAGGCGCCTAGAGGGGCCACCTTCAGCGGAGACATCCATTGCAACGCAAGAAGGAAGTAAGAATTAAATGACATTTTGGCTTTCATCCAACCATTTTGCACTTTGCTATTGAAGGTTTAGGTCATTAAATCTGTACAAAATTTGTTTAAATTGGTTTTTATATTAAGGACCTTAATTAAAGAAGGCCAATCATGTTATTGACAGTTTTTGTCATTGAAGCATGTGGGCTGTGACTTTTCAATGGTGTGGACATTTTGCCTTTTTACGACTGAAATGATGAGTTACAAGAAAAGATGGTTTCTTTACTTTAGGGCCTTTATAATCAGGCATGCAACTTCTCAAATAAGCCGCTTCCCCTCAGCTCATTTACACTTGAGATTAACCTCTTTGTGTTAACTTTACTCATTTTATATAGCATCCACAGTAAGCATGGATTGAAATTCCAATTCCAACACAGCAAGATATGTTTTTCTTTACATCTTTGTGATGTCCAGTGGCATCTTTTTTTCATTAAGCAAAGAACTTTGATCAATATGTCTGCCAGTGTTGAATTCACAAGAATATTTAAAAAAACGTATGTAATTAAGTTTTTCTTGTTTGTGTAATCTCCCACCAGTCCCTGGACCTGTCCAAGATCTCAACGTCTCCGCCATCGGACCTGACTACATCTACCTCACTTGGCAACCCCCCTCTGAGCCCAATGGCGTGATCCAGGCCTATGTCATCACGTACAAGGCAGACCTTCCTCAGGAAGTTACCACTGACATCCTGAGTGTTGTGACAGGGGGTGCGAGGGGTAAGTCCAACTTTTGAGGCCAGACCCCTCTATAATTCTCCCAGACACGAGCCCTGAAATCCCCCTCCCCCGTGCATGCTGCGTGCAGCCCGTCGTACCTCCTGGGAATCTCTTGGGGGGATTTGGGATCGAAACTGATACTCATTTTGGAAGGAGAGCCTCAGTATCCACCGGTTGTAATGTATCAGCCTAACTCCTCCTTGCTGTTGCGGTCCGTGTACGTAGGCTGGGTAAGTAGTGGTGTGTAAATGAGAGTGATGTAATGTTGTTTTTCTGACCGCAAGCAATAAATTGTTGCTTAAGTGTCCCAAGGCGGAGTGGAACTCCACAGTATTGTGTTTACGAGCCAGGTGTAACTATGGTGTGACTCACCTCAGTCGTCCGGCAGGGCAATTGAGTGTAATTGTCCCCCAAAGTTTCCTGTACAATGTCCCCAACGATTGGCCTGTTTGGCGATGAAGTTACCTTAGTCGGTTATTGTGTATCTAACTTCATTAAGGTGAGTTGATTGCGGGGAATGGCTCCTTGGGAGGATGTGTTATTGTGATTGTTCATTGGCTGTTCACTTTGTGGTGACTGGAATACGTTGCTGTGTACACTCCGTGACATACATGTATACGCATGTGTACATAGGCTGCTGAATGTGAAGGGGGAATGAAAACCGTGTGTGTTCGCAAGTACATGTATTAACAGGCTGGGACATATGTTACTCTTGGCCTTCGCTTTGTGTGGTGTGTTCTCCCATGTGAAATGACTTGTCCAGCCGTCATCCTCAAACAGTAAGTGCGTATTTTCTAACATGTGCTGTATGACTGAACCTGATGTCTGTCGTCTGTTCCTTTGTATTTGTCCTGAAGTGTTGCATGTAAGTACGTTAATAAAACGTACATCCCTCAAGTTTGGTATTCTCAACTTGTACACAGTAGAAAGTGCATAATATGGGGAATAGGATATCAATCCATTGCATGGTATTTATGCACGTAGATCTGTCTCTGTGTATATGCAGCTGTAAAACTGTGGTACACACATTTTTAATGGTGGTGTTGGTGCACGGTGCATGGTACTTGATAGTGTTCCTATATGTACATGTACATGCAGCTGGAACTAGTATGCATGGGTGGGGACTTTTACCTCCGTCCATTAAAGTTTGCACTGTTCGGCAAATATGGCAAATACAAGACCTACATATAGCTAAAATCCTGTCTTATTGAGTTTCCTCTTCTTAATATAATTACGGCAAGGGTTGTGTGCATGGGTGATGTGGGGGGGGCGTGTGAATTGATTTCACTACCTTTTCTTCATGGACGTGATACATGTAAGTACTAGAAATGTATATATGGCATAGGTTTTGGGGCTGATCCCGTGTTTGTCTCATTTGTGTGAAAATTCTGTCATTGTAAAGTAATTAAACAACCAGTACAGAGCAGAAGAAACTGCTGACAAATTAATTAAGGAAAGTGGGTGGAGATACCGTCTGTCTGCTAATTTATCAAGCAGTAGCTTGTCATCAGCTTTCTGTCATGTGGTTGCGTTCCATTAACACAGTGTCATGAAGATGGCATGTGTTGCAAACGTGCTTCAGACATTTTGGTAGATAGAGTATAGCATATAAATGTACGTGTAGCTTCTCTTTTTTCCCACTCACGCCAGCAATATACGTGGTCAGCAACATGTGGTCATCTGTCTGTTGCGCATATTCATGTAAACCTTGCATTATTTTCTGTTTCATGTATAATTCGGGAAACTCTTGCAGTTGTCCAAATCGTTGTGGCGCATTTGGGAAATAGATGTTGATGGCCCCGCCCAGCATGACTAGCTAAAATGCAATGTTATAATGTTACCATCCATGCAGCAGGGGCATCGCAAACTACGAACTTTCATCCTTATAAGATGCAGCGTCTCAAACATATTATGCGGAGCTTGTTTTCAGTAGGCAGGTGGTGTCAGCTCACCTTGGTGTCTTAAGCTGACAACTGACCTCAGCTCTGCCCTGGGTATGCAGTCAGTCACCTTCTAGTTTCTAATATTACCTGTCAGAACGTGTACCAATTTTGTAAATTGCAGCCCAGCAACCAACAGGTGTGCTGAAACCTGTTAGCAAGTTTGATGATGTGGGACAAGTCCAGTTACTATTTCAACAAGTTCCCTCTGGAGGGCTTGTTAACTCAAAGGGATTTCCTGGGCCCATTACACAGAGGATGTTAAAGGAATCATGTTATAGGATCTTTATGACTTGAATATATGAAGCACAGCTTTCTTTACATGGTTTTATAACTTAGACAACTCCTTTGAAGCAGTAAAAGGGAGATATTTCAATATTTTCGGTTCTATGCTAAAGATTTTCATATGTATGAGCCAAGGCATGATATCATTCAAGACATAAATGGATCAAGTTTTTCCACAGGTTTGGGTACAACATATGTATCAAACCTTTCTATATTTTCCCGAAGTAGGTTCCACATTATTCTTGGTTTTGTTAAACAGCTTGTTTAGACAATAGCAGTGGCCAATATTTCTTCACATTGTTGAAAACATGAAACCAAACGGAGCTGAATATCCACTGCATGTTTCTTTAAAGACATTTTGGCAAATCCTCTATGCACTATGGGGTGATGTCTATAATTGCGTCCGCACTCTTGATTGATTTGATAGAGTTTGCCCACACACTGTGGAGGTTGAGCATATGTTCAGCCCTCAGTGGGCCATGTGTCATGGGCAGGGAGTGGTGTTGTATTTAAGAGATTGTAAAATCCTAGAATTTCTTTTAATGCTCAGTCCCACAGATTTCTTCTCTTGCTTAACTTGCACAGTTTTGAAGGACAGTTTTTTCTTAGAGACATGTAAGTTGCTAGTTAAAGTGTGTATGGCTTTATTGTTATAGTTTAGATGTTGCATAAATGTTGTGTAAAACATGTTGTTATGATCGATGTTCATAATTATGGTATGCAGTGTGAAGTACTTCGTCTTCAAAAGACAGTGCCATCAAGTATTCCAGAAAATCGCAACTACATGTACTTGTATTTCGGCAGCTTGTCAAAAAACATGTGACAGCTCCCTGATAGGCTTTTCCGTTGTCCTATGATGCATGTGTCATCGTGTCTTAAAAGCTCTTTGCTATTTGCATGGCACCAGCGCACAATACGGCATCAATACTGCACTGTAAGCGATACCATGTACTTAATTCAGAACTCATGTCACTTGTGCTGCTGCTGGCAGCACGTATTCTGTTCTTATCTTGATGCATCCACAATGCAACTTGGAGTCATTTTGAATTTACAAAGTAACTTCAACTAGGGCAGTAAGAACAAAACCTGGCTTTCATTACAGTGGTTAGTCGCAGGTCTAGTTCAAACATGTGGGGGAATGGTAGGTTTGGCCATGGGCAGACAGCAAAACAGCCCAGCAGTGACCTAACCAGTGCATAACGCGTGAAACCAGAGCAAAGAGAGAAAACAAAAAAATTACAACCAGGATTGCTTTTCCTGTCCTGAGAAATGAGCGATTATACCTGGATATGCATGGCGCCAGGGGAGTTGCTCTGACACAATGTTGATGAGGAGAAGTGAACTAATGCTCATTAGGGTAGTATTTCTTGTTTGCCTGTTACTTAATACTAGTGATGATTGCACAAAGGAGGGAAAATTAACAAGGTGAAATTGAAGCTTGTCAGTAGGTAGGAAATAATGAATTACATGTAAGCTGCCTGAAAGTACGTTGCATATTACCCCCCTGCTTCAATGGTAGAGTGCAACTTAGCCAGATGGGCAGAAAGGAAGAGAGTTTGATGCACACAAGTCAAATTTAGAGCAGTCTCTTGACTTTTAAACAAAAATAAAACAAAGCTATTGAACTGTCAACCCTGGAGAAAATTGTCACTGTTGTGACTGCTCTGACACTTTGGCCACCTGCCAAAAGTGAACCCTAAGAAGTGCCCCCCCCAACAAAAATATATCTGAAATACATGTATGGATCATAAATGAAACTTATGGTCACCTTTTGTGAATCTTCTTTGAAGTATACGAGTACATGTACTTTTAATGCACAGTTTACAGTCTGGTCTGGGCCCTTGATGGTGTCTCTCTTCTGTCTTGCAGTTGGCAGCAAAAGAAAACAAAACCAAACTGCTGGCCCTTCCCAACTGCATGAAACAGCATAATACTTGCCCAGATTATACCTGGATCAAGTGGTCTGATGCAGGTTTTGGGAAACTGGCTTATCGTAGTGACGTTAATCCCCGCTGACTGAAATGCGGTCTGAGCCCGACAGTTGTTTTGCCTGATTGGAAGCTCAGCAAACAGATGACCCCACCTTTAATGACCCCAGCCATCCAATCCCAATTGAATTAGAAAGAAACTGACCATGGACTTACACAACAATGACCTCCCACCGTTTAGTCTCCCGGCACTTCCCCCCCTCCTATTCTTCCTTTTCAAAAGTTTACGTTCATGTTGATTAGACATCTGAGCCTAATGAGTGGAGATAGATCAATTGAAATATATCCTTCCTGAACGTCTTAAGGAGGTTTCGCTCAGGGCCCGGCATCTGTCTGCCAGACACTAGAGAGCAGCCTTATCATGTCAGCCCAAGAAGTCTAGTGCTAAGCCCTCACTCAGATGAAAGGATCTCGTTTCTAGAGGATGAAAGAATTCACGTACCAACGACGCTTGACAGGGGAAGGGTATGGAAGTGACAGGCAACCTGAGACAGCATAACCTAGCGAGCAGCTCTGGCACCCAGTTGAAATTTCTGTAAAGACCTGAATCTTGCGAAGAGTACTGGTCATTTTCTTGAATCAATGTGGTTGGATCTGCGTAACAATGTGAGTGATTTTCCACAACAAACGTAGTTTCAGTAGTCGTGTAAGATTTCTTCTTTTTTTCTGTCATTCAGGAACACAGGAGATTTGGAAATATGTGTGAAATTTTACTAACAGGGATCTTGGAAAATTTTAGAGAGGTTTCAAATTTGACAGGTTTTGTGAATGTGATTGGAATATAATT